CGTATTGTTATCCAGTACTCTGTAGAACTGTCGATCCTTCATTTCATTGCTCCAATATCAATTTTAAAATTGGAAAATATTGCACTCTTAAGTTCTGTCGCTCTGTAGGATAGTATGCATGTAGTTTTATAAGTGCATGTGCACTGGAGTATTTATAGAATGTTTTGCAGAGAAAATATGTTTTTAAAATATTTTCTCTGCAAAACATTGTATAAATACCCCAGTGCACATGCACTTATAAAACCACATGCATACTATCCTATAGAGTGACAGAACTTAAGAGTGCAATATTTTCCATGTTATAATTTATTACAATTAAAAAAGATTTCACAATGGTATCAAAACTAATCTCTATGAAAAAAAAAATGTAAATGACACACTCATTTAAAAAATATAAAAATAAAAATCCCCTTCAACCCCCACCCAACCTCCACAAACCTATCACACTCTGCACTAGTAAGGAAACGACTTGGTATGGAATAATCTGTAAATGTAGGTACAATGTAGTTGGTTTTTAGCATTGCTTAATGTATAGATTTCCATGTTATTTGATGTAAAATGTGACTAAGAATGAGATTAGTCCAAGAGAATTCTACACAACCTGTTATTTTTCAGACATGTTGATTGCTGCGGCCCTCAGTTTGCTGTTAACAACTGGTTGAGTACATTTTACATAATATAAAAGAAATTATAAAGCCATAGTAATTTGCTAAAGGCCATATATATAACTGCTCTTTTTATAAATAATTGTTTCCTAGATGTAGTGTGCATTTATTTTTCTAAAGTATTGAATGAAAGACTTAAATACTTTTCCTAATTGTTGCTTTACTTTGTTTTCCTTTTTATGCCTATGTCAGTAATCGGAGACTCGGTTTATAGTTTTTGGTTTGCCCATCTGTCAAGCTGTTTCTTTGTCAGCAAAATATTTAACCTTTGTCATGCCATGTAAAGGGTTTCTGCTGTAACTTTCATTTTTAATGTATGTATTATCTGGTACAAGGCCTTGTTTTGGGTATCATTTTGAACTCATGACCTTGACCTTCAAGTTTGTCCTACTTTTGAAAAACTTCAGGCTTTTTTATTTAACAAGTGTGTTTCTTGTGACCAGTTTTTATTTGAGATGTCAACATATTTTTACCTTGTAACCTTGACCTTGTTATTTGACTTACTATTGAGATACTTTAACATCGGTCATAACTTTTGAACGATTGGTGCAAGGACTTTTATATTTCATATGTGTATTCCTTGTGACAAGAGTTTGACCTACTTTTGAGACACTTTGACCTTGGTCATAATTTTTTTTTAAATAAAATCAATACTTTTTACATGTACCAAAAACTATAATCAGAAATGAAATTTTTATGAGGACTGTAGCCACGTGTGTCATTATTATCATCGAGGAGCACATTTCAATATTTTTAGAAATAGATTTCAGAAAAAAAAAACATTTTAATGTTCCTTCCCAGGATATTTCTGATTAAAGAGCGGGTAAACCAGAATTACATTGTAAATGTATTAAAAGTAGCTAAATTGGTTCATACAATCAAGGAAATTAATCTTCCGTTATGCATTTTGACATTTAAACGTCTCAGATGACATCTCATAAGAATTAGGATCAGCTAATGAAAATTTTCCAGAAGATTACTTCCCTAACCAATTCCAATGAAATAAAAAACTCCTCAACCAATCAGATTATGATTAAGATATATTTTTTCAAATACGGAGACATATACACTAAAAAATTACACACAAACATGGATATTGCGAATCCATGCATATAACGATTCGCCTTCTTTTTACCCTGTAATATTTTAGAAAATAATGAATAAAAGTCAGCATATGGATGTTATGAATTACAATCACCCCGGCTGATTCGTTATAACCTTGTTCTACTATATTCTGATTGTAGTTGTCGTCATCCGATTCGGTATACCCGTGTTTTACTGTATTCTGATCGAAGTTGTCGTCATCACATTTGTTAAAACCATGTTGTACTGTATTCTGATTATAGTTGTCGTCATCTCGTTCGGTATACCCGTGTTGTACTGTATTCTGATTGTTGTTGTCGTCATCTCATTCGTTATAACTGTGTTATACTGCATTCTGATTGTAGTTGTCGTCATCTCATCAAAACAGCTATGCTTTAGCTGCAATGGGGTACCCGACCAATCTGATTGTAGAACTATTACAACTTGTAGTGATAGCGAGGTGAGATCCATTTCGCCTCTCTCTCTCTCTCTCTCTCTCTCTCATTTTTTATTTTTTTTTTTTTTTGTTATATTTATAGTAAAAATTTTAATTTAAAATTAACCCCTCCCCAAATCCACCCCCACCCCACCCCAAAAAATATAAATATCATCAAAATTTGAAATTCGGTTGTAACAGTTTACGATAATATCATGAATTTGGCTATTTCTCAGGTGAACGTTGTGGCCAATTGCAAAGGGTCTTTTATTTCGTGTTTCAGGCATGTTTTGTCAGAAAATTTACACAGCTGAACGGTAAACCAATGTTTGAGTCAGGATGCTTGAGCAAACAGGTAGGAAAAATAAATATTTAGGAGGATCAAAGATTTTCAGGTCATTAGTAATACATTTTTTTTTTTTTTTTTTTTTGTATCTTATGGCAAGTGGCGTCAAGGAGATTATTAGTCTACCCTTCAATATTTTTGTTAGTGTTTCCTTTTATATGATTCAGATATAATTTTGTAGTTTAATCATCTTAGTAACATTTCAAATATAAGAAAAGATGATTTTTTTCCCGACGTTCCGATTTTATATAATGCATTCCAGAATAAAAAAGGAAAATCCAGGAGTACTTTTTAGAGTTTTCAAATGAAAATGATAATGGTAATCATTGAATTAGAGGAATAATCCTATATAATGAAATAATGAACATAATCAAATAATAAATATTCGTTGGAAGTCAAATGAAAATTCTTTCTCAAATGAGTTAGATTACTAGTAGGTCCATGCATAGTTATATTGCTTAATTGTATAGACCTGAAAATAACATTCTTACTTCTTCATGATGTTTTTTTTCCTCGGCAGATATACCTGGAGGAATATTCCTCTATCAATGGTTCAAAGTAATGTACAAATGTGACAAAAGGGATTATAACTCAATTTTTATCTTTGGTACAAATAATGCATAGGGGAACATTCTTCTATCGGTTATGGATACTGATAAACAAAATAAAACAAAGAGGAACATTACTCCATCTTTATGTGTGTTACAAATAATACATGGAGGAACATTCCTCTTTCGGTAAAGGATACTGATGTACAAAATAATATATTGAGAAAAATTACTCCATTTTATCTATGCTACAAATAACACATAGGGGAACATTCCTCTATATGATAGAGGAACACTTCTCTATTGGAAATGGATACTGAAGTACAAAATAAAACATAGGGGAACATTCCTCTATATGTAAGGGATACTGATAAACAAAATGTTACATAGAGGAATATTACTCTATTGGTAATTGATACTGATGTACAAAATAAAACATAGGGGAACATTCCTCTATATGTAAGGGATACTGATAAACAAAATGTTACGTAGAGGAATATTACTTTATCGGTAATGGATAATGAAGTACAAAATAAAACATAGGGGAACATTGCTCTATATGTAAGGGATACAGATAAAAGAAAGTTACACAGAGGAGCATTCCTCTATCGGTAAGGGATACTGATGTACAAATTAATACACAGACAAAAAATTATTCCATCTCCATCTTTATGTATGTTACAAATTATACATAAAGGAACATTCCTCTATATGTAAGGGGTACTCATAAACAAAATGTTACAAAGAGGAACATTACTCCATCTTTATGTATGTTACAAATATTACATAGAGAAACATTCCTTTTTCATCTATGGCCACTGATCTACAATATGTTACACAGAGGAAAGTTTCTCCACTTTCAGTGGTATTTGATACACAAAGTATTTGGAGGAATTCCTATTTGAAATAATACATAGGGGCAAATTACTCCATCATTTTATCATGTCAACAATTAAAATTGGTGTAATGTTTTTTATCTTAATAAATGGAGGAGAGTTCCTCTAACATCACCTGGGTATTGGTATACAAATGGTCTACATAATTAAACTTACTTGTGTAAAATATATACAAAACCATAAATAATACAGATAAGTTCATCTTTTGATTCATTTGGAAACATACTTATCCACCTTAATCTTAAATTGATAAAGAAATTGATTACTATTGATATATTCTGACAAGCTTATAAAAAAGTTCCCAATCACAAGATAGAGAACAATTCTTCATCATTACATGAAGAATTCTTGCATGGAGAAATATTCATTTACTTCAGATAGGTACAAGTAAAATCCCAACATAGATTTCTTCATCTCTTATGCCAATACACTGGAGGAACATTCCTCCATTTCCCTTGGACTTTGGTGTACAAAACATTTGCAGGACTTTCTAGTCATTATAATACATAGGGGAACATTCTTACATATTCAATATATCTTGGTGTGCATATCAATTTGAGAAGTATATATTCTACATGTTGTAGAGGAGTATCTAGTTTTAAAAATTACACATTTCCTCTCTGATATTCTCTCCGATATGGATCTAGAAATCGAAATGAAATAAGTGATAAACATGCATAGAACTTTGAGTTCTATTCATTTTTATATTGCAGGTAGAAAAATGCCTCTGACTACTATTAAGGCAAACAAAAAATGCTTCACTTGAATGAATTTATTTGAATTTATTAACACCGAATAATGACATGTGTAATTAACTCTCTCTCAAAAAAAAAAAAAAGAAAGAAAGATTTTTCCATTTTCTCCTGATATTGTTGCACTAAATGCACGAATGATTTCAAATTGTTAAAGAACATGTACTGTCAGGATTATACATGTATTACATTAAAAAAATCTTTACTGGTGGTCACACAAAAATATTCTCTAGTGTAACTATATTTTCCCCAAGGTTTGATTCAAATTGTAATATTATTTTTCCTTGATGTAGTTGTTTACTGCCATCAATTGCTCATCAATAGATGCTGAAAGCTTGTCAATTTTGATCATTTTTTCTTCAACATCTCCCTTCATTGATAAAATTATAAACTCTTCTTCAAAAGTTTGTTGGTCCTTCTCATTTATTTTGAAGGATAGCTTTTGTGGCCGATGCAAAAATTGATCATCTTGAATTACTCCGACATGTTTGTGGCAGTATGTCAGGATGGTTCTATTCCTTAATGCATAATAGATTTTCCCTTTTGTGTACTCAACAAGAACTACTTCTGAATCTTGGTTGTCCTTGGTACCTTTGTTTATCTGCAATGTTTGTAAGGAAAACACTAAAAAGCTTAATCATCAATTTTATGAATATAAAATGTCCTTCAATGAAATAAGTTTAATTAAATGATTATAATGCTAAGCAGTCATCCCCCTCACCACTGCTACAAACACAAAACCAAAACAACAGGCATCAAAATAAAGGAAATACCTTTTTTTCACTAGTTGAGCATTCTTGGGGGCGTTCTTCAAAAATAGCACCCTTATTTTTCTCTAAACATTTCTATAATTGAAAAAAAAAATGCCTTCATAGTGTCTTATTGCAAAGAAAGTACCGGTAGGAATCATAATTTTTTTCATGCTATAATTAGTATTTGAAATAAATGTTCTCGCTTTTATTCAGTTCTTTGTAGAAACTACTCTATTCTTGCTTTATTTCATTTGCAAAGTCTATCAAGCAAAATAATCATGCATATGTACATTTTATTCTGATTGAAACACAACATGAATACTAAAAATTTACTTGATGACCACTAGATGTCAATTGAAGATTCTGTCTGGCACGTGCAGCTGCATCCTCAGCATGCAGTTTATTTTGGATTTCATCTTTTAATTTTTCTTGCAATTCAGTTACCGTCTTCTGCAAATCAAAATGCAATAATTGCAATATTCAATAAGAATAAAAATCACAGAAAACACAGAGAATTTTAGCTTACATTCAAATTGGCCTCTGTTACTTTTTGCTCCTCAGCTTTAGTTAATATAGCGAGTAAACTCTTCTTCAGGGCCTTGAAAATGAAAAATGAAATCTTTTCTTTGATCATTGACTTCATGGGGTATTTTTAATCAATTTTTTATAAAAAAAAAAAAAAAAAAACTAATTTGCCCCCACCCCCTTTAAATATAGGTTCATTGAATTTGAGAATAATTATTAATTAAAATATCCATATGGAATATATTTTGCACATTGCATTATTTAAAAATTTAACTTCTTTAAGGCATCTGAGTGAAAGAAAGCGCTTACAATAATCTTGCTATCCTTTTCTTTTAGAAAATTTTTCTGTTGTTCAACAGACTGTTCAGCATGTTTCAGCTTTTCTGACAATAGTGTTATTTGCTGTTGAAGTCTTTTTATTTCCTCTTCTTTCTCATAGAGTAAATTTTCATTTTCTGTCTGAACTCCAGTTTCCTTCTCACTTTTTTTCTTTGACCTGACATATAATATTATACATGATTTTTAAAGATTGACTTTGATCATTTAGCTTTAAAAAAATAATTTAAAAAAAAAAGAAAAGTCCTTCATATATCATTGTATACAAAATGAAGTATTATAAATAAAAACGAAAATTTACTGTGTGCATTCGTCCTGGTTTTCTGTCACGACATCAGCAGCTTTTCTTTTCTTAGGTAGCATTTGCCTTCTGCACCATACGAAAATGCAAAATATAGCATAAAAATTTCAGTTTGTTCATCAAAGAAATCTGAAGCATTTGCATTTCCCTTCTATAGGTATTGAGCCTTGAAAATGGATTATGCAAGTATTCTTACCGGTTAGTGAGGGGTTCATGTTTACTTGGTTTGCTCTGATCATTCTCTCTTTCACATCTGTAAAATTGAATTCAAGTTTAACAATATTGTCAATATGTCCCTTATGCCTGTATTAAATAAAAAAAATTACAGGTGAGGCAATTACCTCTGACAAGCACTTCGAAATTCCTCCGGCATCATTTCTCCATTTTTAAATCTGGTAAGCAAGGAGATTTTCAATTCATTGTTTTTGACTTTAGAAAAATGCCAAAAACAATACTGAGAACACTGCTCAGCTCTTTTTTGGCCTTTAATGCAACCATTTTCAAAAGCGTTGAAGACATCTTTAATGAGTTCCCAAATGTCATTTTCGCTGGCTGCTAAGTTAAGATGGACTTTATAAGAGTTTTTGAGATCTGTTTTCTGAAATGAGAGAGAGAAAAATTACAGTCAAACCAGTGCATATTGAATACAAATAGTGGACATATCTTAAATGCCTACTACAAGTTTGAAAAGTCTTCATAATTGAGATAATTACAGACATTTTTCAATAAAACTTGGGATATTAACACAAATGAAAAATTGTATTATTTAGATTTTATTACTTTAATTGCAACAAATAAACTCTTTCTGCTTATACAATAAACATGTTTATTATGTTAACATATATGTTTTATGTGTTGTATCATCCTGATGAAAAAAAATCCCTGGCCGAAATTATTCTTAAATTGGGTGGAAATAGTTTCATTTGTAAAGAGAAAATTTTTCAAAGTTTTAAATATTCTTTTGTTACCCTAAAAACCCATCGATATAACATTTCTGCTATGGATAAGTAAGAAATAAACACAATGTTGGTTTACTGTATACATTTTCTGTAAAAGAACATTTTATTGAATAAATGTGTTGTAAAAATAAAGATTTGTGATTTATGTGATACTATAAATAACTTGTGTAGATGTACATTTAAAACAAATCAATGTATAACAGTGATCTTTTTAAGCTTATTATTAATTAAAATAGCAGTTTGTGTGTTTAAGGTAGAAATAGAAATTTGTCTAAAGAAAATGTTGTTCTTACTTTAACAACTCAACCCTTTCAATAACTGGTATCTTTTTTAAAAAAAAAAGTTAGTCAAATTTAGCAAATTCTATTTATGTGTTTGAAATAATTCGAAACAATATACAAAATTTCAGAAAGTGAAGTAAACCCCTATAATTTTTATATATTATTTTAAAAAATGCCTCATGCAAATAACTGCGCAGATTTCCCTATTTTTATTTAACTCTTCTTTTTCTTGTCTGTTTCTCCATTTTGATGCATTTTTCATTTTCTTATTCCTTTTAAAACTTTAATTACTATCTTGTACATTTATTTTACTATAATCTTATTGTTAAGTGCCTTAGAGTAATTTTTATTAAATAGGGCGCTCAACAAATGTTTTATTTATTTATTATTACAAACATAATAAAATACCCCGGTACAAAAAAAAAATGGAAAAATAAGTTGGCAAACTAATGAAGATCCCCCAGAGTTTTGAGTTGGGCAGTAATGCAATCATTATAATCATGAAGTGGTGAATAATCATTAATTTAGTGTTCTTAAAAATCCAAAGTTATTCTTTTCCATTACAAGGCACACTCTGTTATATTTGTTTTGTGCAAATATTTTCTGAAAGTTTGACTCAGCTGGGCCATGAATCTCAAAATCTGTTCTTGATAAAGAATTTGAAATGATAAAAAGGCTATGTGTAATAATTGACACCCCTGACCCCCTAACTTACAAAGTGGAAGCTCCAGAGTCAGTTATTTACACTGAGCAGATGTGCATATTATGTTACACCACTTGGAAATTACAGAGATTTATAGCTGGTAAAGGCTATGTCAGGTTAACTGCCTTTTTATTAATAAACCCAGATGTCAGATTAACAGATACACCAAATTATTCCTCATATTTACTTTTCTTAAAATTATTATATCTTGTTTATATCTTGTTTTATTAAACACAGCAAGTGTGCACTACAAAACCAGAAAAAAGAAATGCAATGCGTAATTAAATTCAAAATGCAAAAAATAACTGATGACCTTAAAATTCGAAGAAAGGGGCAGTCTGTGCTAGAAACGGTCAGATTTATGACCCTCACTGCTATCTTACACAGGATTTTTTGTTGATGATAACTTTTGTGATGATCTGACAAAAAAGATTTCAGAAATTGTTAATAAATATGCATGGTCAGCTGAAAATGTCTTTAAAAGAGGAATGTGTTCATTGTCTTGTTATTCAATCCACACATTTGTTAAAAAGAGATGAAACATTTGATGCTGGGAAATATTTTGGCACACAATATATTAAAACATTATATACAACTGATCATAAAACATTATTAACAAGGAAAAATGTATATATTTTTTATTTTAATTTTATGTTTATTTTCTATTATATAACAAATTGAGTTTGATTTGAGGTCATATCTGTCATTTATAATTAGAAGTCAGTTGTTTGCTATTCAACTGTCCGATATCTAATTAATCTGTCAAGAACTCATTGATTCCTCTGTGCATTTGGTGGGATAATAAAGGGGGGGGTTAAATCTTGTTTCCGTTGCACTCAGCATCTGTTTTCTAACACAATTTAAAGCAACAGCACAAACTATCCTCCTTTGTTGACATTTTAAGGACAGTGGATTATCATTCTGTTGTTTATAGTTTCTTGTTTAGTGTTTTACACTTACCCACCATCCCACCATACCAAAAAGAATATCAGACCTCTGATATCAGACATTCATCATAAGAGTATATATATATATATATATATATATATATATATATATATATATATATATATATATATATATATATATATAAAATTATATATATATATATATATATATATATATATATATATATATATATATATATATATATATATATATATATATATATATATATATATATATATATAATTTGAGAAATTACAAATGTTTTGGAATTATTTATAAAGAAGACATTATCATCGAAATTGAAATATATATTATTGATATCTTATTTGAAAAACTGTATAACAGGTATTTTCTGTGGTTGGAAATTTTTGTAATTTGGACTCTGATTTGTAGCAAATAAATTTCTATATCTTTAACTTCTGTGGCAACAATAATGCTTGCATTATGCTGCAAAAACTACATTTAAAGGAACTGACTATAAAATGTTAATTTCAGTTCATTTTTTTGTTTGTTTGTTTAACATCCCTCAAGATTTTTTTACTCAATCAGTTGCTGGTGTAGGGCTGCAAATTTAGACCTACTTCGCACTCAGGGCCATTGTCCAGTGAGGGATCTTTTTTTCAGCACCTATTTTTTAGTGACAATGGACCTCGCTTTATATGGTCTCATTCTCCGCGTCTCACAGTGGGATTTGAATCCACAACGTAAGGATCAACTCCTTACTTCGTGACTTAAGAGCAAACACTCTAATCACTGCACCACCCGGGCCACCATTAAATTTGGTACAACACTACAATGTTAAGGTATTTTAATACTGACTTAATCATGTTCAGGGTGAATCAGATCTGAAAAGATGCTATGCTGTTCTTCTATCTTTCTGTTTTTTTTTTGTTTTTTTTTTTTTTTTGGGGGGGGGGGGTTGTGAATATGTTCCAATAATAAATGTTTCATACCCTAGTAAGCATATTTTTTTCACTAGGAAATTATCAGTTCTAAATTTATATCAGGTGAAATACTACGGCCCTGTCGTACGTACCACTTACAGCAATTACATGTAGGAATAAATGATGATGTTTACAAAAAATACATCTTAATAATATTTTAAAAATATATTTTGTCCTATCCGCAAAATATGGCCAACCGCAAATATACCATTTATACGGTATATGAGTGGTTAACAAAAAGAGTTAAAAGATTCTAGCATTTGCCTCTCTATCACATTTTTTTCAATTAGCATTTATTGCAATTGCACTGCAATCCTGCTAATTTTGTTTACTTTAACTTATGCTGGTTCTTCAGATTCCTCAACAACACGGTTTTTAAGATCAATGTCCTTTCTATCTGTGGGCAGCCTAACCTCATTTTGGTGTGCTCTGTATCTGGTTTCTGTTTCCTTGCATATCTTTATTGCATATCTTTATTGCACGTTTGAATAACGTAAAATCCTAGTGCCCTACATTTTTTATTTGTATTTTTGCTGGTTTAATTTCCATTTCTTCCAGACCCTCACGAGGTCACCTGATTATAATTTGGGATTCCAGTTAAAGAGGAATTTCTGAGTCATTGTCCTATCCTGCACATCTTAAGATTCTTCAGCCCAAAATATGTGTATAAAGATCATTGTCCTTTTTACTGTGGACAGCCTAACCTCACTTTGGTGTGCTCTGTGTCTGGATTTTGTCTCCTTGTATACCTTTATTGCTCGTTTGAAAGATGTTATAAAATGTCAGTGCCCTACATTTTGATTTTATTGAGCTTGTTTCCATTTCTTCCCATCTGGGCATACCATACCATTGTGAGACCCCCTTTGGAACCAGGAATATTTGAGGGGTGGGTTTAGTACACCCATTCAAAATATCTTACTCAGTAATTTGTTGACATGCAAAAAATATAAACAAATAAATGAACACATACAAAAAAAACTGTCCAAATTAGAAAAACCTCCAAAATGGGGAAGAGCAAATTTTTATTGACAAGCCACTTTCTCCTTTAGAGATGGGGTCAATTTCACACTAAAGTTGTAAATTAATTTACATTAATTTGGCCGAATTATTCAACTACTACAATTTACAGATGTAATTAAATTAAACATAATTTCAGCCAAAAAGCCGAAAGTAGTTAATAACAAATTACATTTAATTACTGGGAAAATGTATATCTACAGTACATTTCATCAATTTAGAATTTATTAAAAAATTACATGCACTTGTGTAATAGAATATGAAGTTATCAATAGTATTCATCACTCATAAAGATTTTTTTTGTTGCATCTAATCATAACTTGTGTTTCAAATGTCATATGTTCAGCAATGATCAGGTATACAGGAGATAGGATGCATTGCCTTATTTTTTTTAGACCATTATTTCGAGGACATTGAAGTGCCATAAGAATTTTAACACCTGCCATATGTTTTGCTTTCTTTAAACTTGGGTGTTTGTACTGGTGATTACTGCTAAGTTTTGTTTCAAAAAGTGTTTAAAAATATACCAATAAAATTATGAAAAAATTGTGTAGAGAAACAAGATTTACTTTCAAGAATTTTACATTTGAGTTTTTAAGGATTAGACTATGGGTAAAATGTAATTCCGAAGTAAATAAAATGTAACTTGAGTTACACATAATTTTTCATGAAATTAATGAAATAATAGTTATTACTTGTAAATTTAATAATGTTCAATTACAGATCATGAGTTTCAATTACTTGAGAATTTGTAATAAAGTTTAACTTATTTCTTCCAGCGTTAGAAGAATTATACATGTTTACTAGGGTGTCCAAGATCATTTACATGTACTACGTAACTTAAATAACTCTAAATATCCAAACTTAAGGGAGTCCACCCCCCTCCCTCCGCCCCTTTGCACACTGAATTGGCTACTGTTGCTTTTGATTCCAGCATTGGTTTGGCATTATAGTCATAGAATTTTTGGGGGTCATTGCCCTTTACTGTAACTTTAGCGTATGTGTATAAAGATCATTTTCTCTTTCATCTTTGGACAGCGTGACCTAACCGGGGGTGCTCTGTATTTGATTCTGTTTCATGGAATATGACATTTCTGACAGTTTGAACAGCGTAAGACTTCAGCGCCCTACATTACAATTTTATTTCTTCTTAGGTTTTCTATTTCTTCCCGACCCTTGGGAGGTCACCTGTTTTTAATTATAGCATCAGTTTGGAATTCCAATTAAATATTGCCCAAAACTTTTTAAAAAATATTTTACGGTGATAATGTACATCACTTGTCTCGTGAACTCAAACAAATCTGTGTCATCCTTTTTTCAGGTTCTATAAAGTATTTTACGCAAGCATTTTGGTTGTTTTAAATTCATTGCAACATTTCAACATCATCTTTATACCAAATTTATGCTAATCCTGGCGATGGCTGGCCAATATGCAATTGATAAATCTTTTTTTGCCTCATGTGTGAACCAGATAATTTATGCTATTGTAGTTCAAGTAATCACTAATGACTAATGACAAATTAGCAGTGTATTAATTCTTGAGTTGGGGCAAGAAAGTTTGCTTGAACAAAGCTAAGATAATTAAGGCTTAAAATATATCTTAATTTATTAAAAAAAAAAAAAAAAAGAATTTTTTGATTATTTATGGATTCTTATATGATTAATTTTTTAATTCTCATTTTAATCATACTATGTATACTTGTATTTGAAAGTTTTAAAAGATAATGTGCATTTTAACACATGTGGTTGTGATATCTTTCATTCAGTCCATTTAACTGACAATAACTCTAAGCTGCTTTTAAAATTATTAAAAACTAATGTGTTTCTTCAGAATTGTTCCGTTTTTTATTATTAAAATTCCCTGTCTCTTAATAGTTTCCATCGCATATGTAAGAAAATAATTGAAGTTGCAAAATTATTTATTTTTGCAAAATTCTTGATAAAATTAAGCTATACTCCGGTTTATCTTTTTTTCAATTTTTATATTTTATAAGTAAATACATCCTCTTTTTCCAGGATATATCGACTTAAAACTAAATTGAACTATCATCTGATGCACATAAAAAATCAAAAGTGTTTTATTTAGATATCTTAGTCAATAGCGGTCATTAGCTACTTAATAGAGAACCACCCTCCCCACCCCATCCCATTTAATTCTCAGTTTTCACTTCACAAACGTACATATAATGGGACGTGACTGTATTATCACTGACATATACACACACCCTCTCACACAGATATTACATGGTAATTAGTAAGACATGCATTGATTAACAGGTTGGTAAACAAAGACAATATCATTTTTTTTTCATTCTTGCAATTTGCAATCACAATCAAGCATGCTCATATAGGCACCTGATCCCACCTCTGGAATTTCCAGGGGGTGTTTTTACCCTGTTTACAGATTTATATTGTTTGTACTTGAAGTTTATCTTTGAGATTGATCAATGTTCATTATCTTCACTTTTTTCATATGTATACTTTTTAAATAGAAAAAAAAACTTTGTACTTACAGATTTGTTCATAATTGCTGCAATGTCGGATCTCCATTTAGTTGATATAGTTTTATGGGGTTGTCCAGCATAATTCCTCTGACAATTTAGAAACAGTCTATGAAAAAAACAGACTTTCTCTGCAAAGCTCAACTCCTGAGAGTGTTCATGGAGCTCATTATGTTTGTATGCAAGAAACAGAGCCTGATCTTTTGTCAAGTTTTGGTATATATCCATATAAACAAACTCATATTGTTCTTTAAGAGTGCATTCACCAGAATTTAAAATTTTCTGTAATGCCGCTCTTGTGTGGTTTCCACCAAGAACCTCTATATGTTTTTTTCCTGGTGTTGCAAGGTCATCAGTTGTAAAATCCTCATTTACAAGTCCAACCAATGTAGTATAAGGCTTGAAGTTTTTCGTAAATGACTCAACCAGTTCATTCACATGATTTTCATTCAGCAATCTAATGCAATGATCATTGACTGGAGAAATAAGGTTATCAATGTGTACTTTGACATGACTCCCTACAATAAGAAGCATATATCACAGTAATTTCAGAAATACTTTGTTTTGTATTAATTAAGTGAACAATTTGTTATGTAGAACATACCTTTCAATGATTTCTGAATTATGTCAGCATCTATACTTTTGAAAATTTCTTCTTCTGGTATATTGGTATCTTGGGACATCTTGAAGTTCGATAATTAATCTACAGGGCCGTATGCTTTATTCTGCAGAGGATCTTTAACCTAATGCTTCTAAGTGAAACAACTATATAATTCAACCAATCACAGTGCTGTGCTGAGTAAATTTGACCAATCATAATGTGTGATTTTATCAAACCACAGTGCATGGCTATTAAACAGTTGAAAATTCTTTTTGCACTCATTTAGGATCTATTCAATAATGGCCAGTCCTAGAAAATTTACCCCTGTTTCCAAAGACTGGCAAGAAGAAACTTGTAATGAACTTGGAATTTCTTTTATTGAAAGAGCTGATTTGATTTATGAACCAAACTCTTATTTAGGAGAGCCATCTACTTGTTTCAAAATCAAAGGAGATGGGAATTGTTTGTTCAGAAGTCTTGCACTTTCAGTCAGTGGTAATGAAGACCTTCACATGTATTTCAGGAACATAATCACATCATTTATTGCGAATAGCAAAGATCCTATTGTACGTGATGAGACTCCAGATGATTATTTAAAAAGAACTCGGATGAGGGAAAATCGTGTATGGGGGACTGACATAGAACTTTATTTTGCTGCAAAGTGTTTAAATTGTACGATTTTTGTTTATTCAAAACATGGAAAAATATATGACTGGTTAGAATTTAAACCAATGAATAAAAACACAGATTTAGCAATTTATCTGCATCACAAGAATGGTGACCACTATGATGTTGTTACATCTGTCAACAAGTCCAGAGCAGAGAGTGAATTACCAGTGTTGGAAGATGAAAATCATAAATATGAGCCTTTTATTTTCATTGATCTTGATAAACAAAATGAAAAGGATGAGACAAAATTCGACATTTCAATGGTGAGTTGCGCAATGTAATTTTCAATCTTTACCATTAGAAAAATCTATTACACTGTATCAACCTTTATTTTACAACATAAATTAAGATCATCTATTACAGTTAAAAGTGTATCTTAAACTAAAACTGTATTTAGAAAAGAAACAATGGAAATTAATTGTTAAATGACACTTGCAATAAAAAAGACAAGTAATTTAAAAAAAAAGTCATTATTTTGATGCTTATGCATTGCTGGCTTGATATTATTTGTATGTATACTTTTTAAAGATATTCAAGTTCAACTAGAAATGGTTTATTTTCTCTCCTTTTTATTTTTTCTCAATCAAAATCTGGTTGATTAAAAAGTCCCTTCGAATATAAATCACTATTCTTTTTATAATGTCTACAATTACATGTTAAGTGAACTGAAATTTTTGGTTGATATTTTTTCATCCAAATCTGCAGTATTTTACACTGGGCAGAAAACCAGTTAAAAATGTATAGTCTTATTTTTATTTAAATTTGATATTGAATTTTTGTAACAAATTTTGATTTCTTTCTTAATGTAGTGATGATTTAAACATATAAGTTTTTTACACTACAAAATTATTTATCTTTTAGTCACACAATTTTAATTGTTTGTATTAATATTTTTCTTTTAGTCAAATCTATCTGACATATTGAAAAGCATGAGTTTTGAAGATAGTGATGCCAGTGGATCAGTTGAATGTTTCAAGTGTCATGTAAAAGAAAATCCTGGTACAGGCTGTATACAAAGTGAACAAAAAGAAGATCCTTTTGATTTTGAAAATGAGGTAATACAATGTAAAACTGCAAAACTGTGGATAAGTATTAGTCCCAGATTCCTAGTTTTAAAGAAAATTAAAATACATGTATCCTGCATGATACTTATTGGCGTTGATATTTGCTATAAGAAAGACTGGCTCACTGTGAGGTTTTAAAGCCTTCAATTATTAAGATTTTTTTTATAATTGTAGAGTTTAAAAAAACTAAATTAAATGTAAGAAAGCAAAGTGTTAGAATGTAAATAAATTTTGATATTATAAAGCTATATATTATTTTGAATGCTGCAATATTTTCAACAAATTTCCACCTTAAGGTTATAAACACTAAGTTTTATTGTTTAACAGGTAGCATTTGATACTATTCAATGATTTTCATTTTACATATGTCTACTTATATATTGATTTAACTTATAGGATATTTTGCATTATGAGAGGGAGCATTTTTTACAACTGACATCAACACCAAAAAAAGTCAAGTCTGCACACAGGAATTTAAACTTGAATCAAGTTTCACCAAAAATTCAGGTAACAGTTGAAATATTTTTTAAAGCTTTCTTAAGAAAATTTATGCTATTAAAATTAATAAAATGCAGGTTCTTCTATGGCAAATGATATACAAATCAGATATTGTTTATTTAACATAACCAGATGAGAACGAATTATGTCAACCTTGGTATAAAGATTTCAATGATGTATAAATTTCTAATGTTTGTTGTGCATTTCCAATGAGTAATTAGAAAAAAGAGTCATGACACAGCGCCCAATCTGCAGCTTTGTTAATTATATTGTTTATTGAAAAAAAAAAACAATGCCTCTGTCTGATAAAACATTTAAATTATTATGTATTATGTTTATACCGTAATCACACTGACAAAACTTTTGCACCTATCTGTCATCTCAGTGGGACATAAAATTAGTGTGTGTTTTAATGTAATATACATGTATTACATGTACAATTGTTACAGTTGTGTTTAATGCAAAGTTATGCTGTTAAATGAAGTTACATGATGATGTTACATATTGAAACAAACATTCTCTTTAGTTGAATGAAAACAGTTTTACTGTGCTTGTAAAATTACTTTTATTTTATGTTATGATATGATTTAATCAATGTACACTTTATATAACTATGTAATATGTACATTAAGGGGTTCCAACTTTGGTTCTCATTTTAGGATGAGATGAACGGAAGTCATCTAGACAAAAGCCTAAATATCAGTGATATAAGCATTTACAATGCAAGTTTTGAGGAAAATGTAAGAACAAAAAAGCTAAAATCAATCAAGAAAAAGAATAGTTCCATCCTTTTAAAAAAAGCATTAAAAGACATTTCGTTGGCCATGAAGAAAAAAAATAATTGCCGTCAGACTTGCTTAAAACATGTCGATGAAAAAATGATGAGAAGTATGAGATACAGATTTTGGACAAAGAGTTTTGACCAACGAGTTGAATGGTTTATGGATAAAGTAAAAGAATCTAAGTATCAAAGGGGATTGGCCACATTTACAATCGATGGTGGCCACAATGTGTGTTCTTCTTGCTTCAAACTGCTGCTCAAAATAAACAAAAACTTCTACTACAAGTATTGCAAAAAAGCTTCAGAAGGAAAATCAGCAGCTTGCTATAGAAATGCCAGAGGATTTGGGATGGCAAGAGAAGGAGCCATTGTCTGGTTGCAAAATTATGAGTATTTTCATGCAGACAGAATGCCTGATAATGGCGATATGATGCTGCCATTCAAGACAAGAAAAAGTGATCTTTATGATTTATATGTTGATGAAAAAATACAGAAAATAGAAATATCCATCAAATATGCATACACTGTCAGCCGGTCAGCATTTTATGAAATTTGGAAAACAGACTTTCCAAAGTTGAAGATTAAGCAGGTATCATTTCAAAATCCTATTGTTACAACATTGCAATGCACATAATTACATATTAAAAGTAACTCTTTAAAAAATTAAATATCACTTTTATGAAATAAAAATTGCATATAATTTTCTTTTCAGACAAATTCATTTTCTAGATGTAGTACATGTGTGCACATTGAACGAGAGCTAGAAAAAACACGGGATCCTGTTAAAAGAGGAAAGCTAAAAGATATGATGTCTGTTCATAATCAAAGGCAAATGTAAGCAATAGCAAATTGACCAATTTTTGTGGGGATCTTTTGAATTGTTCATAAATACATACTTATATAGACTGTCTAGAGAAAAAAAATACATGATACATATTTTCAATTAGTGTTATAGCAAATAATAAACAGATATGTCTATTGTTCCTTAAAGGAAAGAGAGAAGATACTACTACAAGAAAAGGGAATTGGCTAGGGGCAACCCCAGCCATTTTCTTAGTATTATCATTGATGGCATGGACCAGAGTAAGTTTCATACAAGTTTTGATATCATTTTTTTTTTAATTATAAAATACAAATTTCATTTTCTGACCATTAATATACTGATATTTTTTACAGGTAAAACTAATTTGCCACATTTCACAGGAAGACTTATGAAGGTATTTACAATACGCATATTTCTATTTTTATTCAAGATAGTATAGATATTTATAGGATCTCCCATAGATTGTGATTGGATATGACCCATATCTAATGAGTTGTGTGTTTCATATCCCTGGCTCAGGGATATAAAACACAAAACTCTGATATGACACATCCAACCACAGGCAATGAGAGCTTCAATCCTCTTTCTTGTTTTACAAAAAATTATCGCGTTTTACACTTTTTTATACATGAATTCAATTTATTTGACGTCATCACTTTCATACAAAAACCATTGTGACGTCACAACTGTTGATATTAAAATGAAATCATATGACCAACATTAATTGTATAAACTGTAAAGGAGTCAACATGTGAGATAGATAGATACAATTAAAAAATATATACAAAAATGTAAAGTAAAGCTTTAGCGCTTTCATTTCAATTTTTCAAAAGCTTCCGAAGATTTGAAATTAAGGCGCGAAAGCTTTACTAAAAGTTTGCATGTTTCTTTTTAAAATTGTATCTGTAATTACCGAGCATTGTGGATTTGTACTAGTATTTCAGTATATACATATACAGTTCAAACATTTCAATATGTACTTAGAATACAACACAGATTGTTTTCAGTCTGTTTCATACAAGAATTTATTTCTTTATATAGGGTGTTGACCCAAACAGTTTTTTGAAGACTCATAT